AGTTGATTAGGCAGAAAAATAAAAGATAAAGCACTTACCATTTTTCTATGTACAAGTCGCAGTCTTATGAACGAGTCACTTAATTGTTTAGATGAAAAAACTTTTGAATTTTAAGACCACCATCACTTAACTGATGTCAGTTGTCTGAACAAATCGTGAAAGAACATAGATTAGTGTTGTTCATCTTATCCTACTTGCTAGGTATGAAAAATGACTTGGATACACTTTCATGCAATAATACTTTTAATACATATATAATTGAACAAAAACAAATAATCCAAACTGTTCGACCAACAATCAAATGGTTAGGTTATCCTTTGTGTCTTCTGTCTCTTTTCTTTGTATGGTTGGCACGCAAAAGAATTAATACGCATGAATATACAAATTCCAAACAAAAGTATTCTCAAACTATCTCTTTTTTATCGATTGGCCAAAAGGTCATCTAGCATGCTTTACAAGAAATTCAATCAAGGGCCACCCTCTTCAAGTGAATCAATTAGGATCTTCCTCAAGCCAGCTACTTCTTTCTCATGATAAGCTACTTTATTAAGGGAGCTGTGTGATCTGGGGAATGATCAAGGTGTATAAATACCTTTTTCACCCACTCATCACAGGCAGGTCACAAAAATGCCTCTTCTCTGCCTCTTGACTATACACTCGCTTTGATTCTCTATGTGTTTCATGATCATCTTCCTCCTTCATTACACTATCTTGAGTATCGGAGGATCTCCTAAAACCACAGAGAAGACATGTTTTGCAAGTGACTTTAGGTCCATTCATTCCAGTCTTTCAAATCTGTTCATCGGTCTATTATCAACTTTGAAAAGCCCGCCCATCTTTGAAGTTTCAACAACTTCAAGTATTAAAATTAACCTGCAAAAGTATCAAAGGCATCTCTTACTACAGTACTTAAAATAAACAAAATTCTTAAAAAAGGTGGAATGAGCTCTTTTTTATATATAATAACATACTTAAAATGTAATAAAAGTGTGTGCGCGTCTATAAAGATAACTATTATGATGAAAAATAACTCCTATAAAAAAACTTAGACCTCCTTATAAGCTCCTAGACGAAACTATGGATGATGTTATTCAAAATTCTAGGGATATGTTTCCAGAATAACATGAATATGCTAATCATTGCTTTAAAAATAGATTGATTGGTTCCTTCGCTTAATTAACTCCTTTGTTTTATGATAACATGGGTATTAATTCGAGGCATATCTATCTCCATAGAGTTTTAGCATGAGAATCATTTATTGCTAAATATTATAGTAGTGTAAGATTTGATAGAAGAATTGAGTCGACCATGGGAAAAGGCAGTGGTCATCATGTTCCTTAGAAAATCGACAGGGAATGAATATTTGTATGAGAAAGTCACACAATTACCAGTGAGATTGATATTATAGATTCGGTATCATATTAATGAGGATAGAGAAGAGGCGATGACGAGGGGTTCTTGGGCTATTCAGGGACATTATCTTATTGTTAGAATATAGTTTCATCATTCTACGCCTTCCAAGTTAAAACTTGGCAAAACCCTTGTCAAGGTTCGTATATTTAAGCTTCCATTGTCGTGAAATTCTCTATGCTATTACCTCCAGTATAGGTAAACTTGTGAAGATTGACAAGAACACTGGCCCTGCAACTAGTTGAAAATTTGTACAATTGTGTGGAAGTAGACTTGAGCAATCCTTTGTTTGGGAAAGTCCGTGTTATTGGTAAAAGGGTTAAATGTTGAGCATGAACGCATTCATAGCATATGCTTTCATTGCAATTGACATAGATTGAGGGCGCTTGTTTCTTTTACACAAAAAATCTAGCCCTTTGGACCTGGGCTTAAATGACTAGACTCGACCTAAATTTTCTCTCCTCTTCCCATATTTTCCCCTCTCCTTCTCACCACAGAGGCTGTACAAACCGTGCTCAGGCACACACCTAGATATATTTTTGAGATTCGAGAAGCAAAACGTGGAGTCGCACACCATCTACGCATATAAAGCTTTATAAGCTTTAGTCATAAACTGTTTGCAAGTTTGCCCTTTTATGCAGGGTTGGCACCACTTCTGACCGATGGCACAGTGCAAACACCATCACATTTTTGGCACTATATTCTGTGTGAAGCATGCGCCTTCTTTCTCGTCAATGTAGCATTAGCAATCATCAAATTCTTCACCAATAATAGGGCAGGCATTTTAACCACCATTGGACATCAATTTTTCCAGCAATTAGTTATCGCATGACTTTTCATGTTTTCCGAGGTGAGGTGAGGTGAGATAACTAAGTTCTATAAATATTTTTTAACACCAGGTAAATATAAAATATTATATGATTTCAACATTACAAATACATTATATATTTTTCTCTACACATATATTTTCTCTTATTTATTTCTTATATTATTTCTTTTTTTTACATTTACTAATTTAAATATTAAAAAGTTCTTTGTTCCACAAAATATTCATTCTTTTCCAAAATAAACAAGCCTATACATCTTGACTTAAAATTTCACCTCATGAAAATCTCAATTTTTATGTGTGGTTTTTTCACAACTTCATTAATGGTATTTTTATGGGATTCTAAATATATAAAAAAACCAATTCATTCTCATTTCATATTTTTTATCAAAAATTCTTTTTATAAATAATGATACTCTAGGATGAAAAAAGAGTAATTAATCTCTTTATCAGATGAACTTAGCTTTTTTAAATGTCTAACAACTCTGCCATCATGTATAAATATTTAATGATGATGTCATAACTATGCAAATAAATTTTTATATACTTTCTTATACATAAAAATAAACTCTCATGTACTCCCCATTAAATATACAAATAAAACTCTTTTTTATTAAAGAAAAAAGACATAATAACATACAAAAAAGTAGACATAAAAATACTTGCACTCTTATACTAAGAAGGAGCTATTCCTATCATTCTCACGAGGTGCTTTAAACGAGGATTTATCTTTCACTAGTATATTATCCCTAATAGAACTTTTCTTAGTGTAAAAGATGCAATGAAAAAATATATAAGAGTGGAAGAAACAAGAAAATAATAACCTCATTTCTACAAAGCAGAGTCTTTCTAATGTTATAAAACTCTCACCAACACATCTAAAAAGAGCATTAAGAGGTATAATTTTGATTACCTGTGAAAAGAGACCAATCTCATAGAAGCATAAATGTTTATTGAAATTCTTTTTAAAATTTAAAAAAAGATAAATCACCTATAAGAATATATCAATTTTTTAAAGAAAAGGTCACCAGTGATAATAAAACCATTTTCTTTTAAAATAGTAAAATCTTTAGATGTGTATATCATCCAGCAAGTTGAATAGACACTTTTTATTTATAAGATCACTATGCAAAACGTTGATGAAATTTTTATTTAATAAGTATTGTAAAAAAGAAGGTATTTTTTGTTATCCATTTTAACCCCATAAAAAAATCAAGAAAAAAAAATAAAAAATATAATAAATACAAGAGGATACATACAAAGAAAGTGTGAAATATTGTTTAAATATTTTATGAAAGATCAAATTACAAGTAAAAAAATCAAAGGACTAGAATGTTCAAGAATTACAAATTAATGATCTAATTCTAAATGACAAAAAGCCTTATAAGTGAGAATATTTTATTTGGAGTAGGAAAATACAAATTTAAATGAGTAAGGACTCAATAAAGATTTTATGAGACTTAATTAATTTTATCACATATTTAATTATATGAAAAATTAATTTTTTAGAATCAACTAAAACTTTAATGTTTTTAATTTTAGTTAAAAGACAATACCCTTAAATAAATACTAAATAATAAAAAAAATCAACACAAAAATATAATACTAACCCTTGATCAAAGGCTTAATTACTTGATCTTAAGGGTATTTAAGTGATCTAATTGTGCATTTAAATAGGAAAATCCAGAAGTGTGTGTGTGTATATATTGTCTCCATGGGCATTTTAGTATTTTTCCTATTCATAAAAAAACTTAAAAGACCACTTTACCCTTATCAACCAAGATAAAAGTTATTTGATTAGGGGAAAAATAGTAATTTTACTATTGGGAGCTAAAAACTAAAAAGTAAAAAAATATTTAGCTAGAAATTTCATAATGTACCTCCACTAAAAATCTGATTTATAAAGATAGCCCTTTTCATACCATTGAAATATTTGTTGCTAAATAAATCTTTTATCATTAATTTTATGAATAATAAGTTTTTTTCCTTACTTTGAAATAACTTAAAAATATACAATAACATCATTTAAAAAATAAGAAATAAAAAACTAAGAGCTATTAGTGTTTTACAGTGGTTTGTGATTCCTTCGTTTATTTTTAATTTTTAATTTTTTTTTAATATTAAGGATTGATTTGCAGGAGTAGTCTATGTTTTTTAGGCCTTGCAACTTACTTTTTAATATATTTATTTGGAATTTAACATAGTTGTTTGTTTTGATTACCTAAATATGAGAATCTTATAATATGAGGAAAAGCTTAGACTTTTAAATTGAAAAAAATAAAATAAAACTATGTTACTATAGAAAAATATTTTTAATAATTAAATAAAAAATACAAATTCAACAAGACTTTATAATTTTAATAGCTAAACATAGGATGAATAAGTTTTTTTTTTTCTAATAATAATAATAATATCAATAATAAGTTTTTGTAAAATAAGAGAAAACTTATCCTCAATTTAAAATAACACAATTATTAATGTAGAATAACACATATACAATCAACTTTAAATGCTAGCATGATAAATTGTCGTTGGTTATCATTAGCAAAGGAAAAGAGTTACTTACATAGTTTTATCCCCCCTTTTTTTTAATGGTAGACAAAAATAAGAAATTTTCGGCAGGTATTGTGATGGGAGAGTATTTTTTTAATTAAATATTTATTTTTTATTTTAAATTAATATTTTTAATATTTTCAAATTATTTTAATATATTTTAAAATAAAAAATACTTTAAAAAACAATATCATTATACAGTCGCAAGGCAAATCCGGATTAGGGGCATTATCCCAGACAAGACCCTTAAAACGACAAAACAAACAGATGTCCAATTCTTTCAAAGCTTAAATAAAAAACCTTGAAACACCTCAAAATCCAAAATTCGAGCTCCCTTTTGCTTCTTTGGAAAAAAAAATGTCAAAATCAATTATCTTAATGATAACAACTCTTGGGTTGTTTTTGACAATTTCAGAATCGATGAGGTTTGATCTGCAATCAGGACACACAAAATGCGTATCAGAGGATATAAATAACAGCGCAATTACTGTTGGAAACTACAATGTTGTCAATCCTAATGAGGGTTATCCTCTCCCTGATGCCCACAAGCTTAATGTCAGGGTAATCTCTCAATTACACTCTTTTAAACCCATTTACCAAAAAAAAAAAAAAGTTCTGTTAAATTTATACATATTTGCATTTTTTGTTCATATCTGGGTTTCTATCTGTAATTGCATATGTGGGTTTGTGCCCATTTATTTTGATAAAAATAAATTTAAAAAATCAAACCTTTTGATATTAGAAAGGTATCTTATCGTGGAGAAATTGCATTAGATTTGTCGGGGACATTAGTGCAATGCTAACCAGTGATAAATAATGATTGCTTTTGGTTTTTTGTTGTGATTTTTGGCGTCAAATTTGGCGATGGTAATGGTGGGGGTGATGCAGGTGACATCGCCATATGGGAACAATTATCACCATGGGGATCAGGTGGATTCAGGTAATTTTGCATTTACTGCAGCTGAGGCTGGTGATTACACTACTTGCTTTACGGCCCCTGATCACAAACCAGAAACCACTGTAGCTATTGAATTTGAGTGGAAAACTGGTGTTGCTGCTAAGGATTGGTCTAAGATTGCTAAGAAGGAACAGCTTGAAGTAAGTGATTGCTTTGGCCTGTATTTTCTGTTTAATTTGACATTTTATGATAATTTGTTCATAAAGTTTACTCCTGTATATTGCTCCTGAAATGTTTTTTGCTTTGCTGAATGAATATTGCTATTTTTGGGTGGTTTTGGTGACAAAATTTAATTTTGTACAGATCTTTTGAATTTGCTGATTTATTATTGATGGTATTTTTGGTAAAATTATTTTATTACATGCACTGACCATTTTTATCTTCTACAACTGTAATGAACAGTATAGCATGATCATGCATTTGCGAGCATTATCTGCTATATGAGCTGGGTTCTTAGTTATACCTGGGTGAATTGAGCGTGGGGAGGACATTTTAAATTGAGATGGTATTATCAGTCATTGAAAGGGATGACTGGAAGGGGAGATCAACAATTTAAAAGGGTTAAAAGGTTGGTGTCTTATTTAATTGATGCTTTAAGGAATCCTTCAAGTACCATCTACTCACATTATCTTCCAACCATAACCGATAGGAATAAACAGTTTTGTTAGCTCTGGGTTGTGTTCTGGAGTTATTTTTTTACTTTTGAAGTGGGTTCTTTGACTTTCATGGTGCTGTCGATAAGTGATCAGGTTTTTTGGGGCAAAAGAATTTGAGTGTCTAATTGTTGTTAGGATGATGAACCAATAATCGAAAGGTAGTGACATGAAATAACAAGTACATGCAAGAAGGAAATATACTAAAAGCCATGGGTCAATCCTCTGATGCCCAGTTTTGCATTTAAATCACAAGGGGATTTTTAATTCTGTTACAAATGTTATCTTCTCAGGGTGTCAAATGTATGCTATTGCTAAGAATGTACTTTGTGAATAACTGGCTTAGTTTTTGTATGGAATATTCTAATCTTCTGTTGGCTGTTGGAACTCCATTCCTAAAATGTTATTTCTATCCTTGGGCATCCTGTGGGAGCTACCCTTAGTGGTGGATTCAACTATATTTGTTTGGCGTTTTTCTCTGGTAAGAGTGAGGGTGGGTGATTGTGTATTCCTGTTAAATATGTTTGGTTGATGCATAATTTCTCTTGTTCTAGGTTATGGAAATTGAGTTGAAGAAATTACTGGATACTGTCACATCTATTAATGAAGAGATGTTTCATCTTCGTGTGAGGTATGAACGCTATAACTTTATGAAGCCAAGCCTTGATATCGTGTCTGGATAGGCTAGTGAGTGGTACTGGTTGTTCATGATGCTATGCATTTTAACACTCTTTCTAGTTTGCTGTCACTGATATTGTTTTCAAAATGTGCTGCTACATGGTCGATGCTGACAGTTTTCCAATAAGAGAGTCCAAATATCTTCGGTTAAATTAATAACCCTCAGATACCAGAAAGAAAACTTTTTATTTACTCTGTTTTCACGAAAACGAAGTCCTTGTGCATTATTATCTTAGAGTTTTCCTTAGCTTTTCTTCTTTCTTTGGCTATTCATTTGACAGAGAAGCATTACTTTTGCTCTAAATTTCATGTTCGCCTTTTCCTTTTCCCTGTTGGTGATCCAGGGAGGAAGAAATGCAACAACTTAATCAATCAACGAACTCCAAAATGGCTGGCCTTAGTTTCCTTTCACTTGTGGTTTGCTTATCTGTGGCTGGTTTACAGTTTTGGCATCTGAAGTCACATTTTGAGAGGAAGAAGCTGCTGTAGTTTTGCTTTTTAAAGCATCCGGTTTTCTTGTATCTCAAACTATTTATTCACAGCAGTTAACAATTAACATTTTGTATCCTCAATCTAAAACTTCAAGGACTCGCATCACTAACAAATTTGTTGATTCCATGCAGTTCTTAGTGCTGAGAGATGTTGACAATAGAAAGTATAACCTCTATCTCATTTTGGGCATGTTTTTGAATATTAATTAGTTGAAAACCAGTGCAGTAGTTGAATTGAAGGAGCTCCCAAGTTTATCTACTTGATTTGCAGCATTTTCTTTAGCGTTGGAGGAGGGAGGATTTGAATATGGGACCTCCTCTGACTGATGGAGAATTAATGACGACAATGATAACTCGTTTTTATTTATTTAGGAGTTTTAATAGTGTGATTGTTCTGGATTTTATTTTAGCATTTATTATTTAGTAGTTAAATTACAAATTTGGTTATTTTATTGAATCAAGTTTTGGTAGGTTTTCTATTTTATTTGGTTTGCTGCATATATATAAATAAACACCTAGACATTGATTATTTTGGTTTTTGAATTGTTGATCGAAATTAAAACTTGAATAATAATGGATTAATCACAGACGCTAGTTCAAATTATTGGTTTTTTTTAAGGAAGATAGTACTGCTACTATTTGTTTTGGTTCCGTCCCTTCACTTCTTTCTCTGCTCTTAATTGTTTTTGTATTTTAAAAATATTTTTTAAAAATTAAATTTTTTTATATTTTTTTATTTTAAATTAATTTTTTATGTGTTTATAAATATGTGTTAATATTAAAAAATAAAAAAAATTATTTTAATATATTTTTTAATAAAAATATTTTAAAAAACAATCACAATAATAGTAGTAATAATAATAAAAAACAAAAATAGGCTCTAAAACATATGTATAGACCTCCTTGTAATTATAGTTATCAAATCTGATTTAAAAGTTGATTCAATTAAGAGGTCGGTTTCGAGTTACACAGGTTAATTTAGATTAATTTGAATTAATTTAGAATTTTTTTAAAATTTTAATATTTTATATAAAAAAATTAAAAAATAGTTTGAATATTAGTTAGATATATTATAAATAATGAAATTTAAAATATTATTTTAAAAAGTTTTTTATTCCATTTTGAAAAGATGTTATTTTTTTAAGTTAAAATATTTAAACTAAAAATTTATTATACATTAAAAAAAAAATTATTGTGAATATATATATACACTAAAAGGTTTTAAATTACACATTAAAAAATAAAATATTTTTCTAATAAATTTTAAAAATAATTAATAATCAACTAAAAAATAAAAAAAATATCTAATTAAAAAAATATATATTAAAAAAAAATAAAGAGTTTATATCAGGTTTTCAAATTACCGAGTCATGAATTTAATTATTATTGTTTTGCTCTTGCTAATTTTTTATATTACCTAAATCAATCCAACCATTAAATCAATTGAATCTACATATTAGACCGTCTAGATTTAATAACTACGCGCATGACATACTTCCCTGAACAGTCGCAAAGATCACTTCAAAAATAGATCCATGTTATATTATATATATAAAGCTTTTACTCCCGCACAAACTTTCAAAATTTAGCCTCCATGCACCCGCCAAACAACCAACAATGCAAGCCAATACTCACCCTGGCGTCCAATCTTATTTCCATGGCAGAGGCTTGCAACTCTATGTCCCACCTCAAGCAGATCCACGCCCATTCCTTACGAACAGGCCTCCACGACCACTCCATTATCCTTGCCAAGATGCTTCGCTTTGCTGCGGTTTCACCTTCCGGTGATTTAGCCTACGCTCAGCGTCTGTTTGATCAATTACCCCATCCAAATACTTTCTTCTATAACACCCTCATTCGTGGCTACGCTAAAAGCTCTATCCCTTCTTATTCTTTGCATTTAGTTAACCAGATGAGGCAAAATGGTGTAGACCCAGATGAATTCACTTTCAATTTCTTGATAAAAGCGCGGTCAAGAGTGAGAGTGAATATAAATCGTAACCTCCCATTGGTCGTAGAGTGCGATGAGATACACGGGGCCCTGCTAAAGCTTGGATTTTCTTCGCATTTGTTTGTTCGAAATGCGTTGATACATTTGTATGCGGCGAGGGGGAATCCCGTGGTAGCCTGGAGAGTGTTTGATGAGACGGTGGGAGTGGACGTTGTCTCGTGGTCGGGTTTGGTTTTAGCTCATGTAAGGGCTGGGGAATTAGAGCGTGCAAGATGGGTTTTTGATCAGATGCCAGAGAGGGATGTGGTTTCTTGGACAACTATGGTTTCTGCTTATTCGCAAGCTAAGTATTCGAGGGAGGCATTAGAGTTGTTTATGACTATGCTAGATAAAGGAGTGAGACCAGATGAGGTCACTCTTGTTAGTGTGATTTCAGCATGCACTAATTTGGGTGATTTGAAAATGGGGTTTAGTGTGCATTCTTATATTGATGAGAATGGATTTGGATGGATGGTTTCACTTTGTAATGCATTGATCGATATGTACGCTAAGTGTGGATGTATGGATAGAGCGTGGCAGGTGTTCAATAGCATGAGCAGGAAGAGTCTGGTTACATGGAATTCAATGATTTCTGCATGTGCTAACAACAGGAACCCTGAAGATGCATTCGGGTTATTTAGTCACATGTTTAATTATGGGGTTGCACCTGATGGGGTAACTTTCTTAGCTGTTTTAAGTGCATACGCACGTGTGGGGTTGGTTGATGAAGGGTACAGGCTTTTTGAGAGTATGCAGATAGACCATGGAATTGAGGCAAGGATTGAACATTACGGTTGCATGGTAAATATGTTAGGTCAAGCAGGGTGGTTAGAGGAGGCATTTGAATTAATTACCAGCATGCCATTACCAAGCAATGACGTTGTTTGGGGAGTTTTGCTTGCAGCCTGTAGAAAACATGGCGATGTGTATATGGGGGAGAGGGTTTTGAAGAAGCTATTAGAGTTAAAACCAGATGGAGGGTATTATACTTCATGAGACTTGTGCTGCTGCAGGTCGAACAGGTTAAGTGAATCGGATGCAGCAAGCGATGATGGTAGGTTTAACAAGAAAAAATCCAGGATGTATTTGGGCGGGGATTCACTTCACATCCTGTAAGGAATGTAAAGATACAGGAGATCAATAAATCATGCCTAAGTTCAGCTCCAGTCCTGTAGCAATCTCAACAATTTTGACTCTGTTCTTGGTAGGTGTTAATCATCAATCAAAAGGCTATCTGGAGCGAGGTTTCTAATAGGCTGACATCTTTGGGATCAGGACTGTTGATTTTGGAAATAGATCATATGAGGGCTATTCTGAGAATGAAACATAATGCTTGAGTTCTGCAAACACTATTGGAGAAGCTACTAGATCAAAGACTGTATGTCATCCCCGCATACATGTTTTTTTCTCTCTCAAGAAAATAGCTCTAGAATCCAGATGACAAAGACAAAGTACACCAACCATCATTTAAGATACTCCTTTTGGGCATAGGAAAGACATTCACGGGGCAAGGGTTAGGAGTGAGGCCATTAATTCAAATGTGGGAGACCAGCTAAGCAAACTTGAGGCATCCATAGCCAGTCAGATGTTGTTGGTGCCCGTGGTCAAATAATTGTCGATTTTGTTCCTTTATTTAAAAGATTTTAACAACTAATATATTTATCCCATCTTCTTTATCAATAAGGGGGGAAAAACACCGATAAGCAATGCTAGATGTCCGCGGGTGCTACGCCTCGCGTGTAGAAAATAATGTTTAGGTTCCACAATCACGTTAAAAAGAAATAAAAAAGTAAACTCAATGATTCGGATTATACTCCTAAATGGTTAAATAAGTTGATTTTGTTTTAAGAAGATGGAAAAAAGAGAGAGAAGATAATAATAATAAACAGGCAAAATTATTTTAAAAAAAAACCAAGATGACCTACGAAAAAAATCTTTTTCCAAGAATAGAAAATTAATGTTTTCCAATTTTCAACCAGTTAAATATAAAATAAAATTGGCTAAAAATAGAATTAAAAAACTAGTACAAATTAGCTTGAGTTATCATGATAAACATGCAATCTTGACAATAAAAGCAAAATCAACTCAAATTGACTTATCAAATTCATGTTCAAGGTTATAAGATCAAGATAACCTAATAAAAAAAGAAATCAAAGAAAACCATAAAGCTATTTAAAAAAAAAAACTAATGTCGAATAATGAAACTGAAAAAAAAAAATTAAAAAAATATCAATCCCTGTTAACTTTTTAAACCCATGAATCAAGTTATTTGACTGGAAGTACCATAAATTAAAAAATAAAAAAATCATGAAATCCAATCCCCAACAAATCAAATGTTAAAGGATAAAAAAAGAAAAAGCAATCACACAAAAAGATCCAAAATAAAAAATATCAATTAAAATAACGAGGATAAAAAACAAAATAAAAAATAAATTAAAGGGCAACAACAATTTTTTATTAGAGAGTGAAATGGAAAAGAAAAATAACTTAAAAAAGACAAAAAAAAGTTCAAAAAAACGAGGAACAAATTGAAAAAAAAATATAACATAAATTTAGATTGAAGAATAAAATTAAAAATCAATAAAAATTTTACAAAAAAATCAAGAAATAAAATACAAATAAAAAAATAAGGACCCAATTGGAAAAAAAATATATAACAAATTAGGATTGAAGGATGAAAGTTGAAATAAATGAAACCTTTTACAAAAAGAACAAAAAAATTAGAAATAAAAACATAAGGAGCAAATTTTAAAAAATAATAGAAGATAAATTGATAACGAATAATAAAATTAAAAATAATAAAACTTTTACGGAGAAGCTAAAAACAAAAATTAAAAATTAAAAAAATATGAACTGAAGTTGGAATATCAATAACAAAAAGGATTAACCTATAATTTTTTAGAAAGAAGAGAAAAAAGATAAAAAAAAAAAGAAAATAAATCATTAACAATAAACCGCTCCAACATTAACAACAAGCATCACATTAATAGAAAAAATACATAACTCAATTCTCAATCAATATATTATTAAAAAACAATTTAAGAAGAATTCAGTTAAACAAAGGATAAGAACCCCCACCCAGACATTAAAAATTTGTATTTTCGATATTTTAAAAAAAAAGAAAGATGGAGAAGCCCTTTAATACATGTATATTTTTTCTCCTTCCAAAGGTAAAATTATAACTTAAATGTTTATTAGTTTTTTTGAAAAGACAAAAAAATCCCTCACTC